AGATGTGTATAAAAGACAGCATATAAATTATATATATATATTATATATATAAACTATATATATATATTTAACTATATATATATATATAATATATTTAACTATAGAGAGAGTTTGGCAACTTGGCGCATGGACGCCATGTCATTAACAAACAGCCCAGGCGCATGCGCGCGTATTATCTTTAATGTTTTGTTTTGGCGATAACGTGGCCTGTGTATGTCATGTGATTGCGATCCACCCAATCACACGCACGTATATCGAATCCCGTGAAACAGAGTTGGCCAAAAACTCAGCTCTCTCTGTCTTTCTTCGGCTCTAGATCTCTGTTGTTTGTTGTTTGCGCCCTCTCTGCATATATTGTCATTTTTCATCATGCGCCAAACACAAAAATAAGATGGAAGGGAGTTCGAGCGAGTTCAGTCATTCAGAGGTCTTATTTACGAAAGAGAATGGCGCACCACTGAATTTTTATATGAGGCCATGTGAGCAAAGAGTTGAGCTAAGACGCTTGATAGAGGTACAGTAAGATGGGGTGTTTTTGAGAATCAAATAAATTTCTCTAGGCCTAGCCTACCTAAGCCTAGGCACTGGCCTCTAGGCCGCCCTAGCTAGGTAGTATAGTAGGCATCCTGATGCCCTGTGCCTAGGCCCCTAGTGCCTAGCCTATGGGGTAGGCCTAGGGAATGTCTAGGAGGCAGGCCTTACCTTCAACATTTCGATCAGGTACGATCCATGATCCGCTGGGAGAACCAGTCAACTCGCCCCCTAGCAAACTCGCCCCATGGCTTGCAGTCTGCCCCCCCCCCCCATCTTCCTTACAAGTTACATACAAGCTTGCGTCTGTTGCAGTATATATTTATTTTGATTGCATGTTCATAAATGCTTAAATTAATTTAAGCATTTATGAAAAAATTATAGTCACTAGATAGTTTGTCATATGTTTGTTTTCTTGTTTGTAATACTTTCATTTACCATATTTTTCTTATCATAATACATATAAATAAATAAAAATATATAAACTGAAGTATAATTTCTGGAAAGGAACGTTCCCACAGAGATTCCCACGTTACTGTCTTTAGGTGCTTGAAGCAGACACAAGGTTTGTATTTTCTTGTTTCCTTTGTTTCTTTTTTTGATACATTCTGTTTTAATATGTTATAAATACATACATATTTATCAATTTTTTTTTTCATCGATGAAGGCGGATGGTTTTTTTTTTTTATTGTTTTTTTTTTTTGATCGGAACAATAGATAATTTCAAGGTTTTTTTTTTTCTGTGAGGAAGGACTATTTTTATTTTGCAAAAATATAGTTGATATTGTATAAAAACTGGTTTAATTTTATAGTTTTTTAAAGAAAAATGTATTTGAAGTCACTAAATTGCATTGTTTTTTTTATGCTGTTGAAATAATTGATGCGGAAAAAAATTTGTTTATTCCCGCATCAGTATTTCTCGAATGAGTGATAGATGAGGTGACGCCATCTGCTGATTGTCGGTGGGAGTCTGAACGGATCGTCATTAAAAACTATGTTACATTTACAAAATATTTTCATCCTGTTTTGAACTGTTTGCCTACAATTTACTTTTCAACTTCATGTGTGTAAATTAACTCAAATGTTGTTGCTAAATTGGCTATGTTTGTTTTGGTCATGTGGATAACTTAGATGCTGAATAAATAAATGCTGTACCCGATTCCATTTTTGTTCAATCAAGTTGTTATTGCTGCGAAGCAGCCAATTCATATTCTTGACAGCAATTTGACCTCTGAAAGGTCATTGTTTGTCAAAAAACAAGGGCCTAAGACGACTGAAAAGCGGAGTTTCCTTCTTTCGTTCTGCCGGGTAAAATCAATTACTTTAGGCGACGTTTGTAGACTAACCAACACGTACCAACGTCCGCATGTCGCGCTAGCCGTATCCTACTCTAGGCCTAGACTAGCTAGGATGGTATAGGCCTAGCCTTGAAGGGACGAAGGTCCCAATGAAAAACGACGTCGCTCCTTGATAGCTAACATTGTCTATTTAACATCAAAATAATTCATTATTAGACCTATAGTTGTTTTTTGAATTGTACTCCACAAATCTCAGCTGATACCTCGCACAACGCGAGTAACGAGTTGTGCGAGGTATTAGGTAAAACCTAAACAATAATTCACCACTATAGACACTTTTTGACAAAAATGAAAAATTACGACTTTGTTACCCAATGAGAAGTGTTCTAATATAGACAATGGGTTGTGTCTCATATTATTTCTTATATTTTTATTATTCATTATTTTCACTTGACTCGCATGAATAATTTTGTTCGAAGAACATTTATATGCAGTTGTACTTCGTAGCACTTCACTTGCAATTTGCAATTTCTAGTTAGACTTATTCCTAGTACATTGACGGTGATTATTGTTGTTGAAGATAAATTTATTACACAAATAAGGAGGAGCCTTTTCTTTTAGACATTTGAAAGTTAATAATAGAAGATGTTCATTCCATCTGTCGACCAATCTTTTCCATCCTAACTCATTCATAATTGTAAGAATTGGAGTTTGAATGTTAACAGATAAAAGAATTCTTAAAGTTGTAATTTTTATATTAGAACATTTTAAAATAATATCAATGTTTCAAAATAACTATAAACATTTTGAGTAAAAAAGACGATTGTGTACAGGCATAACTACCTTGCTCTTTTGCTTTGAATTTGTTCTGCTGTATTTTATTGTATATAAATTTTTTCAACTCATCAGTTAAGTTAAGAAAATTAATATTTAGAAATGTCACTAGAAATCAAATGTTTGAAAATACAAAAAAAAAAAATGTAATTTTTATATTTTGTAACTCATTTATCATAATTTCCAGTATGGTGGTGGAGCTGTAACTTCCAAAATTCAACCGGACACCATCAGGTAAGCTGAATTGCTGTAGTAACACCATTTTTTTAGATTTTTACATGGATTTTTACAAAGGCTCTTGTCTCTCTCTACCTATATTTTTGACCAGGGTAACCGCCAGTACATTTAAAATGCCACTTGGAGTGGCAGATTCACAGGGTGGGAGGGGAGAGAGTGGTGGAGCTAAGGTGGGTGGGTCCTCTTATCTGTAGAAATCCCTCCTCCTCTGCCCCGCCCCATCTATTAAGAATTTCTGGATCTGCCAGTGATTCACTTTCATGTCAGGTGTTTTCTATTGGACAGAATAAATTAAATGAAAATGAAAACAAGGTTGGCGCTGGTTGCGAATCAATAGGCCAGCCTATTTACAACAGAATTAATTTCTGCTACTATTTGTGACCCAAGATCATAAAAGGGATGTAAACTCGTCCTCAGCCAAAACTGAGTTTTATGTTATGATGGCATAGAACATTTACTTTAAAATGACAGTTAAATGAATTCAATCAGGTGTCTGGAAGCAAACTTTTGACAGTTTTAAAAATTGTCGTCTTTTTTTTTTTTCTCATAAACTTTCTTAAATCGTGTTTTGAGAAAAATGCCTTTGATTTCGGCAGGTTTCTATTCATTTTTCACAAACTCCCATTCGAAATTAGCTCAAACTTTAGAATGATAAGAATAATAGTTATATTTTATTTTGATTACACAAAAAACCCAATTCTCTCAAAATTCATGTTCTACAGCCAATTCTGGCTATTCAATACAGCACGGTGCGAGTTTACAGCCCTTTTATGATCTTGGGTCACATCTGCCAAAAGCACTTTAATGATATGTTTTCTTTGTTTTTTTTAATGTAGGTTATACTTAACTACAGATATTTGCTTTAGTGATGAATGCTACGACTCAAGATACATTAGAGATTGTATCAAACAGGGATGTCTATTGGATTTGAAGGACTATAAGTAAGTTGAAATTTTAATTTTATGTCATAGTTATAAGTACAGCACATTGAATTATAGTACACATGGCATTTCAACCATTAGCAGATGTGGAGGAAGCTGAGGATTTTTATATTTTGTTTCACAACTACACAGTATTTAAATGTGAGTAGGATATTCAAATGTGAATACCATCAGTGTAAACATGTTTGCAGGGGTGCAGCAATGGAAAAAATTTGAGCCTTACAAGCGCAGCAAGCAATTAGGCAGACGTTAGGCATCTTAACCACTGAGATATTCAGCTCTACTCCACTTATAGATTATATATATTTTTGAAAGAAATTTTCTGCCAGTCCTCTGGCCTTCATCAGCTTTACTGAGTGATTGAAGTATCAGCCAATAGTAAGCAGTCTTACGTGAGAGCCATTATTAAGCATTTGTGTAGCACTTTCCACCATTTGCGCTACATCGTGGCTTTGACGTCATCTGTATGAGGTATTAAATCCAAACAATGGATACCAAATAGCGAAGCTGTACTGTAAATTCCAGTAAAACATGGTCAGACTTTTTTTGTGAAGTAATTTATTTGAGAATATCATAAAAAAATTAATTTAAAAGTTAGTATGTACTTAATATTTTATGCCCCAAAAAAACCCAAAAAAATTAGGCTGTGATTTTAAGCTTGAAATTGAAGCTTGTGAAGGTTTGTATTATTTCTTCACAATCTACAATCTTACAATAATAAACCATAAGAGGTATTGTCACCAAGACAAATGAATGCTTTGGGACTATTCATCAGGCAATCACATCTGCTGCACACAACCAAATCGCTTCAGTTAGGGTGTATTATTAATATAAAGTTTTATGGGCTTTTGAAATGTTATTCAGAAATATTGTACACTTTTTATGGCTAAGAGTTTGTATCCAAACTTAGGAATAAATTCTAGGCCAAAGTTTTTGCGCACAGGTGCTGCAGGTACAGCAGGCCGCTATGTGGTGGCGGTTTGGCAACGGTTTAGTTTCCCAACCTCGAGGTCAGGGTTTTAATCAAACGCTGTGCATTTCATATGTGTCCTTGAGCAGGGCACTTCATCTGCAGTGCTTCTCTTTACCCAAGAGTACAAATGAGTTACTTGGTGGAGTTGCCTGCTCCTGCACTGAGCTTTGCATGTGGAGCCGAAAACTTTTTTTTCCTTTTTTTGTATAATTTTTGTAATTGTATTATTTGTGTTTGTTTTTGTTTAGACTGTACCATTGTAATGCGTATGGTCCCTGTCATATGATGACCAATTTTATGCCTGCCACTGTTTTCCTAATAATTGAGACTTGGCTTGGGCTTCATAACTGCAAGGGAATGCACAATATAAATACCCAGTACCAATGACCAGGGAAAAGAAACTTGCGCCTCAGAATAGGACGCTAGATAGATGGCGCATTACAAGTGCATTCAAAAGAATAACAAAGCGAGTACCTCATACAGATCATGTGTCTAATCAGATGCAAAAGATTACCAGGGGCTTCCTAAATGAGCATTACATTATGTAACACTGTTAAAAGTCTATTAACTAAGGAAAAAATTGCCATACTGGTCTTTTTATTTTGTTTTAATGCTTTTTGTATGTTCATATTACTGCAATAATTGTAATTAAATAAAAAATTTAAAAAATCATGTGGTTATGTTTATTTTTTACACTTTTATTGTATCTTACAGAATGAAGAATTCTAGCGAAAAAGATAAAACACTCACACATCGCATTCAAAAGAGAAGGAAAGTGTAAGTTTTAAGTTTTATTTTTAATTTCATTATTACTTTCTATAATATTTTTAATTATGACTCAATGGAATGTAAATGCATCAGCTCTCACAGTCTTTTCAGTCTGCAAACAGCATCACTTCATTCAAACAAAGCACTGACAACTTATCTGATGGCTATTGCCTTCAAGTAGTCTCACCATGTCTGTTTTATTAGCTAA